AAAACCCAATAGAAGCCCTTTTTGACAATTAATTTCCTTCTTGCCATTAAATTTTATCTTGTAAAAACAGTCGATTCCCATTTGTCAGGAGCAGGATGGGGCGTTGATAGACGATTGGGACTTCTTTTTATCAACTAAAAAGTTTGCCGTGACGAAAACACAAATAATTTTCACCCTTTCAACGCAGCAGACGAGCTTCTGTTGTGAAAAGATAATCTAGCAAAGTAGTGAGCTGGCAGCTGAATTTTTCTAATGGCATGAGCGGTTAATTTGATTATTCCTCTCGCGATACCGATCTTCGTCTGCTCTCTCAGGGGGTTGGTGCTAATTGATTCCAGACGAAATTAAATTCCGCCTTATCTAGGAGCCAATTATCATCCCGAGCCCATTTCCAACCCTCGTCTTTCTTATACTAGATAAAAATAAGGATGAGCAACCCTCTTCTTTTCCAATCACTTTTGCTCACTTCGAAAACTGCCTGCAGATAAAATTCATATTAAGGCACGAGCTCATTTTTTTTCCGCCGTTTGTCAGCCAGCAGCAGGCACTGCACGCTCTTCTCCATAACTTTTCTTCTTTCTCTTTTAAGTTTGGGGTGGGTGCGGGAAGCAGGTGTGTTTGCCCACCAAAGTGCATCATCTTTTAATGCCCAGGTATTGTGTGTATTTAAACTGTTGTTGTTTCTTATCCCGCGCTTTGCAGCTGTCGTCCTTTATCTATCCTGGCCCGACTCACAAAAGAAATATTGAGTGCGCGCAGCATCTTCCCTCTCTTGCAGCCACGGTAAATAGCGATTTTTACAGACTACCAACCGTCTTTATGAAAAGAACATGATTTTAACAAGGTTTGCAGCCGGAACGTTTTGTAATTGGTTTTTTTTCAATATGCAGTCTGGACAAATGTACAGAAATACATACTTTTTTTAAGCTAATTATAATTAGTTACAAATAACGAAACTTTTAATTAAATGATTAAAAATTAATATTAAATTTACTTCTTAAATACCCGAATTATTCCTTTAAATTAATTTAGTCTAAAAATTATTAATTAGATTTGCAATAAGAGTTTTAGAAACCAGTCTGTATAAAAGTAAAGAAATTTAATATTTTGTAGCAAAATATTAAATTTATTATTATTATAGCACATGCCAAAAAGAAGCAAAAACAAATTGCATTGTTTAATTTTATTTAGTGTCGCATTTTGAACTAACACATATAAAATTTATATCGAAACAGAAAATTATTATAAGTTTTATCAGAAAGATATGTATGTATACCAAAGATTGTTAAATCTTTTATTTATAATTTTCATACATTTTAAGACGGAAATCCAATCATTCGTTTCAGTAACGTTTTTGGTGCATCTCCACATAAATCAGCCGTCCGGTTTTCTTAATAGCAGACATTGATCACCCCTGCCCCTTATCCAACATAATTTTCCGCAGCAAAATGCTGAAAAATCCACGCCATGTGCATTATTCGCCGCATCCTCGCCGTGAAATTAGCCACGGGGGTAGCGATAGATTTATTTTTTGTGTGAAATGGCCAAAATTGGAGAAGAAACCGAATTTAGTTCCACTTGAGTGGAAAATATCGAGGCACCCCGCGCGCTTTTCAGCATCATAAAGGGCCAGGTGATCATTTATCACTGCCGCGCTAAAGAGCGTGATAATAAAGCACACCCAAAAAGCGCGGCCAGCTGCTGGAAAAAATTCGGCGCTCTTAAAAGAAAATCCCTGCGTGGCCGGCAAATGGACTTGTCACAGATCTCCTTGAATTTCCTTTGTGCGGTCCAGCAGCAGCCCTGCGAGAAGAGGGACATCATTATTCGCCATTCAGGCTTGTGATTAACTCAAAACCTGGCAGAGTACAATTGGAGCAACAGGAGCGAAACGTGATGCATTTTCTGTGAAATACTGGAAAAGCTGCAGCCTGTCGATCAACAGGGATTAAGTTTCATTGTTGAATATCTTTCCGATGTGAGCGGGGGTGGGTATTTTGAATCATCATTTTATAATAAATTTGATTTAGGTTTTGGGATTTACAAATATAATGCAGAGTTTTATATTGATATGATGGTTAAATACTTTTTAATTCTGAATTTCCTTTTCATTCTTCGATGCATGTTGGCAAGAAAGAAAGAAACTATTTCTTTTTCTTGTTGCAATGATAGAAAAAGGAAATTTAAATTTGTATTAAATGATATCTTCCAACAAGCACATTGATTTTAAAATAAAAATTAAAAAATTATTCCATAAGTTAATAAATATCAACTGTAGATATTCACATGCGAGCTTATGTAAATAGCAGGTAATACTAACTTAGCATGTGAATATCTCCGAATACATTTTAATCTTTTTACATTTTAATGTTCATTTAAAAAAATAGCATTGTTTAAAAATTATATATCTACAAGAAATATTTTTTTAAGTATTTCAACACCCCGCCTAATCCGCTCGCTCATCAAAGTTCCATAAATCAAACGACACCTTTTCTCTCAACATCGTGTTCCTCCTCAAGCAGATAGGGAAAGAGAGAAAAAGCAGCTTATTTCCCAATAGTCGCAGAGGAATTATTAATAATTTCTGAAGCGCGACGACATTATTTAATCCTTCCTTTCCAAAACCGACGCACACACCTATAAAGCTCTCTCCCTCTATACGTCATGAATTAGGTGCTCACAACATACACATCCAATCTAGAAACACACGCGTCCCATCTCGTTCGGTCTCATGTGATTGCACAAAACTCATAACTCGCCGGGCCCGGATTATCTTCGAACCACGCGCGCGCCAAACTATTAAGGGTACACACACAACCCCCTTCTTCGACTAAGCCCTGCTTTTGTGTACGAGAACCACCGCCGACGCATTTTGACTGACACGGGACGGATCCCGCCATAATACTTTTTCATTGCTGATTGATGTACTCAGCCACGCGTAATGAGGGAAATTCGTACAGATTACTCGGCTGCGGGTCTCTCGGCGGTGGACAAACGCAATTTAATATAACGTGCAGAGAAAAAAAACGCGCTTTGACAGTCGGACAGATGCATCGTCACCCTAAGCTCGCTGCAGCACCGGCGAGTAATGAAATTTTTCCCGTAATTCCACTTCCTTATTTCCGTGCTGCAATTCTCGCGCAGCTGCCCGTGCGTGCGAGACGGAGTGAGAAGAAGTGTAATTGATTGCGATTGATTGGGTTTCGAGCTGTGAAAATAAGGTTGGGGTGGATTTTTTCAAACCTGCAAACTTGTATGGGGAGGGTGGTCCGGCGCCAGCCAACTGGAAACAGATATCGCACTGATTCACCAAGTTCCGGCAAAACACAAGGCCAATTTTGAAGAAATTTGATTTTCCTTCTAAATAATTTGAAATTAAAAAATTAAGTTTCATATCTACTAATATCCTCTTATATAGAACAAATAGAACAATTTTATTGATAACACACATAAAAACAATCTTCCTTTATTGGTTCGTTTATTTAGAATCCCATGCGAGAATAAGAGAGCAAAAAAAGAAAAGAACTTTCAACAAAATTTAAATTTTCTATGTTGTGCAGGTTGCATAATCATATTTTCATGCTAAGGAAATGTTTTGGTATTCGTTTTAGCAGATTTCTTTGACAAAGGATTACAAATATTTGCACATATTTTAATTTTTAATCAAATGAAACATTCGCAATTTTACGTCGTCGAGTTGCTTTGATGTGACAATTCGATTTATTTGATAATATTTCATATTTTGGACATACTGATGTGTATAGGTTGACAGAAATATCAATTTCCAAATCTATACGTCAAAATTTATTTGATTTTAATATTAATCATGGGTATTGTTTGACATTTCTCTCAACTGGCAAATGACGCGTGGTTTTCGATTAATCGCGTCACCGCATTTATACAAAATTCAAAATTCCATACTCGGCGACAGCTGCTGCATTTGGAGCCAATGGAGCACAAAAAAGGGCCAAACGCGAGATTGACAGCATCTCCTCAGAGAGCTGCTGTGTGGCGACGCACCCAAACAGCTCGTGATGGATTTGCAATTTGATGACTCCCCATTTCGGTCGGCTGCCGCGGCGTGTGTTCCATTTAAACATTATATATGAAATTCCCCTGTCTGCGCCAAATACGGCGCTGATGTTTTGTTTATGAGCCTTTTCTGCGACCGGCTAATTGCATTTTTGATATGCTGCCCGGCGACATAAATGAATTTCTAATGTTTCCGCCGACCCTTTTTCGCGACTAATGGAAGTCGCGGCTTTAAAAATAATTCATCATCTTTCTGTCTGTCCACTGAGGTTTCATAAAATAAATGCTGTTTGAAATCAGATCTCTCTGACCGTTGACGTTGTTGATGTTTATTTTCCTGAAAGTGTCAGAAATTCCTACCGGCGCACTTTTTCCAAGGAATATAATTTTTTTTGTGGTTGCGTGACTTTGGAGAATTTCCGCTCGAGCAGCATAAATGTTGGTGTCAACCTAGCAGGTCCAACTCGGAGAATTCTCGCCTCACAATTAAAGTGTCGCCACACCACGAAGCAACAATGTCCAAATGCAAACAACCGCACTTCGCGTCATTTATTTGGAGTCACGAAAAATAATAACATATATATAGGGACACTTAAAAAAGCGGGAATAAAAAAAAAATAAGGAACAGCCTTTTGGAGTGGCTTCGTGGTCATCATCATTAAGCATGCCGTGTTGATCTTTTCCTCCTGAAACTCAAAAGTCGTCTTGACTCCTTTTGCCTTAATCTGCCCTATTCAGCAGCGCGTATATAAAATATTCCGTAGATTTCATTTGAGAATAAAAAGCATCTCTGCGGACAAGAGCGGCATGCTTTGTGCGGCGCAGAGAAGCAGATTTAAATTTTTTTATCCTTTCAACGCCCAGGCGACAAAATCCATTTTCGTCTATTAATTTCCAACAGGGATTATATCGTTTGGCGTGTAATTCTCGCAGCATCAGGGCTTACTCTGAGAAGCATAAAACGCAAATTTAATTTACCTTGAGCCGTTAAAAGTAATTTTCGCAAGGATACTAATCCCTTGAAAGTCGGCATCAAATTTTATTATACACCAAACTTTTTACGACACAAATTCAATATAAAAAACCTGCCGTGTATTGTTTGTGACGAAAAGGTACATGAGATTTCCACTTTTTAAATATATATTTGTTTCAAAATTTAAAATGCATGTCTGAGGGCGAGCAGCACAGCTCCAATCAGACTGGTCACAGAAACCGCCACTGAATGGGGAGCACCGTTGCAAAGGCTGGTCGAGCAAATGGAGCAATGATCCACAACTCCACCCTGGCCATTTATGGTTGTCCTGATCGCCGCGCAAGGGTCACCGGAAAGATTTGGTGCGCAACTTCTAGCAGTGGTCACCAAATCAGACTCACCCAAAGCTGAAAATTGGGAACAATCAATATTTTTTTTTGTGAAATTAAGAATAAATTACTTAAAAATGATTTAAATAAATTTCTCATCTTCAATTTGTTACTAGATGCGCTTAATTTTTAGATTAAAAAATAATTGTGAAAAATTATTAACAATATTAATATGAAAACTTCAATGAAGCATAAAACTTCTTTTGATTAATGTGAATTTTTTCTTTTTAAGATAATTTTCCTCTCTATTATGTAAATTGATAATTTTATTTGAATGTATGTATGATGTACCTGGGCAGTAATTGCCTTCTGATACAATCAATAAAGACACTTTGCAACTAAAACTCACAAGTGAACCAAACCAGGGTATATGTCCAGCGATATTTTTGATAGCGAGTCATTGATAACTTATCTTAACTGATATTAAGGTTCGCAGTGTTTGCACTGCCATTAAGTTACTAATAATTTTTGGAAATAAAAAGGAAAAATATAATATTACTACTCAGAGGTGAACTCAAAACAGGATAAAATTGAATCCAGTGCCAAATGATTTTTTAGCAAAATAATTTATTGAAAAGATTTTCTAGTTTCTTATGGAGATAAAAAACGTTTAAAAATTTAAAATTTACTTACGGAGAGACACAATTGACTTAACGCAAACTGCGTTGGTTCCGTTCGGAAGATTGCACGTGGGCATGTTGGAGTCTGGCTTGAAAGGGTCTCCACAATTGGCGTTGTCGCCGGCAGACGCACACACATAGCACTCTAGGGCAACTCCTGCAGAAAAAAATTAAATAACTACAGCACACAAACTTCTGACAAGCCGCCTACCTTGGTGGAGAGCCAGGGCGAAAACGCACAGAGCAATAAGGTACTGCATTTTTATCCGTAAAGTGCAGGAATGAGAGAGTAAGTTGCTTCCTAACGCAAAGTTGTCACTCAAAGAACTGAGGCTCGAGGGCTGATTGGGCCTTTATATTTGTCAAAGAATGATTGTGACGCATATGACCAACAAAGATTATATGCCAGGGGAAGAGCGCAGAACGGGAAATCACTCACGGTGTCCGCATGAGACACACCTTGAGAGCGGTCTTATCAGTTTGCGTCGTAGAGTGATGTAAAAATCGCTGCATTTATACGATCATTTTCCTTATGTGGCCATTGCAGTAAAATTTAGGGAGTCAAAACAGACTTTTATGAGTTTCAAGAGTCACACATTTTATTTGTCCAATAAAGAGGGAACATAATACTTTTAACAAAGACAATATTATGCGAAAGAAATATTCTCTGAAATCAATTAAAAGACTATTATTTAATTAATAATTTAATAAATGTGAACGGTAAAATTCAGAAATTAATTAAGAATAATTGAATTCCAAAGCTGAAACCAATAAGTGCGCTAATTAAAATTACCATCCAATGCAGCAGCTCTAATAGGGTCAGAATGGTTCAGAATTAATAAAAATAGTAACATATAATAAACGTTTGATTTACATAGTTTCGAGAATGTAAATAATATCTTTAAAAAAACCTATCTTATAAATATTATGTATGATATTCCTTGTTGTGCTAATAATCAATTAGAAATGATTCATAAAAACATTTTCCGTGTGGAAGTCCGGCCATTCAAGAATTTTCAGAGGACGTCATTAGTTTATCTCTTCTATCGCATCAAAATTAATTTTTTCCTATAATTGAGCAACACCTCATCCTCTTATCATAGCTTGCACGTGAAAAGAAAGATTAGAGTATAAGCCGGAGAGAAAATTGCGGCTGGTGCGCGCGCGATAATATTTTCAAAAACAAAATTTCGGCACTGTTCTAACAAGGCATACGGGCTGAGAGGGCAAATTTAATCTGCTCGGCGAGGCTGGAGCGCAAAATTAACTAGACGAACTAATTATTATTTCATTAGGAGGCCCGCTGCGATAAATATGCGGCGCGCAGCGATGAATGGCCCGCCGGAAAGGCACTCGGGCCGAAGAACGGTCGAAAGTTTTCCGCTCTCCGTGCCATATATTACGAGAGGAAACGCTCGCCGGAGAGGCCAAATCGTGCGCCGAGGAGCAATTGCAGTTCCTGCGGATGAGCGCCTATTTTTAATGAAAACCAACCCCTTTCGCATTTTGCGCTGCGGCCGAGGGGAAACTACATAATATGACTGATACAAACCTGCTGCTACCGCAGCTCTATGAAATGATTCATTTAATAAACGTTTTGGTTCGCTATTTTATTGCAGCTTACGCACGCAAATATATATTCCGTTGCGTTCCGCACGCGGGTCATTTAAGACGCGAAAGTGTTGCCATAGAGCGGTGGCGCATAATTTAGTGGATTCTGCGAGGGGAGATTTCGGTTTATTAAATTTAGGCGCGCCTCCGGTTTCCCCGCACCACAATACACAATGTGCAGTGCGTATTACATTTATTACGCGCTTTGTGCCGGCTGGTCGCACGTTGCATCAGATATTTTAGCAATTTGCTAGAGGCTCGATTGAAATGGTTACGCGAAATTGGACAAAATTAAAGGGGGAACTTCAGAAGAAAAAAAAACGGAAAGTCTGCAATAAGAAACTTATTTTTCTTTTAGACTTTTATTTATTAAAGCGTATAATGAAAATCAGATCAACCGTATCAAATTATTAACTTTAACTTTACAGAAATGTAACCACAATTCTCAATTTAAAATCAAAATCATTTTACCATTTACGAGTCAAGAATAATAACCTGCACAAAATTTATAAAAATAATTTCATTACTTAATTTAATACTGTTTTAAAATTTTGAATTAAGCGTGGACTCGTGATAATTTAAGTACGTATGACTAATTTTAAGACAATAAAAAACATATAATAGTTGTTTTGCTAAGATCAAAAAATTATGTTTATAATAATTTAATATTATGATGGTGAATTTAATTAGTGTTTTATAACCTTTAATAAATTATTGATAAGATGTGGTGTGAGTTTGAAGCCAACTATAAAAACCTTTCAAAATACAGCTGCAATGTAGAGTGATTTATGTGTTCATCTTATTGTAAATCAATTACACATAACTTTTTTATGGAGCTCTGAGAAATTTTTTCTTCAGAATCTGCAGTATTTATTTATTTTTATATATAAGTGATATAAGTATATTTTCATTTATAATTTTTCTCGATTCATGATTGCAATCATTTGCAGAGTGTTTGATGATTCAGAAAAAGATAATAATTGCAATCATATTGCTTTATCAAGGCAAATCACGATGCACTTTTTTTGTAGGTCTGTACAGTACAAAATCATATTATCAATTTCCTCAGCTGCTGAACAAACAAGCCTTGATATTGCAGCGTCATAAAAAGATGAGTGCTGTGTTTGTTTCCTCTCATTATCCGCGTATGTCGTTTTTGTGTAAAAAGAAAGATTAAAGTCGTGCGGTTTCTGGTGGGCACCGGCGGCTGCGTTTTGCGGTTTGGCACACCGCGCTACTCGCGAGCTATATAGATGGAGAGAGATGGTAATTGCCATCCACCGCTGGCGCACAGGTCCTGGTGTCACCTCTCGTTTGCGTTGGAAATGAGGTGCGGCTGCCGCGATGGACGCAATAATTTCTCATTTCGGCTTCATTACCCCGGAGTAAGAAATTGGAGAGAGGAAAAAGCCCCTTTGCTGCGAGTAAATTGAGCAATTTTGGAGGAAATCCAGAACTCATTAGCGGCATCCTCCTTTTTTAATTTTTTGACTAGCGAGCACTCCCTTAACAGGTGTATACACGTGTTCTAGATGCGTGTGTGGTTGAGTGCCAGGTTATGACAACTGCAGGCAACAAATTTTTAAACTCTCATGATGGAGATGACATCGGGTTTGTCTCATGCTGGCGTGCAAACGATACACCCTCATCGTCTTTTCCTGCCAGCTGCTCTGATGCATGCGGGGGTGGCTTTTTTATTATCTTTTTTTATCCTTTTAATTTTTCGCGTACCCCTTTTGCTCGTAAAAGGATGAAAGTGGCGCGAGCTGTCGTAATTAATTCACGCAGAGAAATGAAAATTGACGCCATCAGGATATTGCGCCAAGCACGCCAAGAAGAAAAGTCAGTCGACTTGTGGCCGCCAGACGAGATTGCACGAAAGTGTGCTTGCCTGGTGGAGCATGTGCACTTACTCTTATTTCACCAGTTTCCTCCGCCACAGCACACGCTCTCAGATTGCTTGAATAAGTCATAAAAGCTGTCCGAGAGCCATAAGAGCCACTTACAGTAAGTTTAGATCGTGCACAATTTTATTTGTGACGTTCCTCAAATATCCGTGGCTGAAAATTACTTTCCCCAGTGATAATAACATTCTGTCAAATTTATTAAAAATTTTATTTGAAAAAAAAATATCATTCAATTACAGTTTTTTATTAAGCATTAAAATATCTTCGATTTTGTTTGCTCAGCATAACAATTTTGTCGCATTTCATTACGTGATCCATAAAATTTTAATTTAGTACAGTCTCATGGTGTATTTTTTAACTGCAATTATGGCTGTTTATGCTCCTTCTTAATTGCCAATTTATCAATTTTGATACGCATTCCAACTTAGAAAAAAACTCGTTTTAAAGCAGTCCCGAAATAAATCTTAAAATTAAGCCAACACACTTTTAAAACTTAATGTGCCTCCCAAAGCTTATTAACAACCCTTCCCTAGGCCTGTGCATAATAAAAAGTGACGCCACATCAGCTCCAAGTGTGGTGCCGGGACGTGAAATATGTCCATCGAGTTATATCATCAGAAAATCCATAACGACTCTCATACCCAGGACGGCGTCAGCTGTCTGCTCATTTATGATTAGTAGCGGACTAAAGACCTCATTAATTTCCGTTCGTTTTTTTCAACCTAATAGTTCCGACCAAGCTTCTGTTGGCATATCAACCAGTGACTTGGTATTACTTTGATTTTTCCGGCGGACGTCTGAGTGTCTTTTGCATATTTAGATAAGTAAATATAGGCAAACAAATAACTCCACATTTGAAAAGGGCACGAGGGGTTGAAGTTGAAATATTATCAACATCCGAGAGCACTGAACTCACAACAAACAAGAAAAATCGATTTTTTTTTTGCCACTCAGGAACTCTAAATTTGATAAGCAGTAAAGCTATTTTTCATGACCCTTCTTATCTTGTGGATTTCGGGGCTTGATAATATTATTTTAAATAATATACGTCTATATTAAAATAATATATAATAAATTCACGCTAAGCCTTTCCGTGAATTCTCAAATTAAATGTTAAATAAATTGCAAGAGCATATTTTAGAGGCATGAAATTTCAGGAAATTTGATGTATTAAATGAACTATAATTTTCTCTATACGAATTCTTTAATTTTCTAATAGGTGCCAGGAGAGAAATTAAATGTTTCATAATTTAAGGGAGAAACAGGTGCGAGATTTATGGACTTCTTCCAAGTTGCGTGAAAAACAAAATTATATAGCTCCCCGGACAAATGTTCCAAATCAGAGTTCATAAAAAATTAACGCGTTGAGAAAATGCATTTTTGATTGCGACCAGGAAAAATGACATAATGACTGGCTATCAACGTCGCGAAGAGAGGTCTTTAATTTCTCAGAAACCGTCAAAACATGCAACAAGAATTCCTCCGAATATATCAAAATGCATAAAATAAGTTTTTCGTGAGGATCCACACATAATCAACAGGCTAATTACATTCCGCAAAAAAATAATGGCAGATCTCGAAAGTTGTTTTTCTTAATTAAAAAAAAAAAATCTAGAGTTTTCATTAAAACAAAAGATACACAAACAAAAGGCCATTTAAAACACACAGTGCCACAATTGCTCGCAGAGCAGCACTCTCCGCAATCTTGGTTGCGTGCTCAAGGGCAGATTAATATTTATGATTTCGCATGAGAACAATCATTATCATCGAGAGATGCACAGCAAAGTCCAAACGCACAAAACACACACAAAAGAGTGGAAAAAATAACATTTTATATAAAAAGAGAAACAGAGA